ATAGAGAAACTCAGCCCTGTCCGGATTGCTGACCCCCAGAATATGGTGTTTTCTTATGTTAGCCTAGCAAATTGGTCGTGAGGTAAAATGATGCTTCTATGGAAGGCTATTACTCAAAAAACATTGTGCAGTTATTTTGCGTAAAAAATTTCTGGGTAACCATCGAAGTTTCAAGACACAGTAAAAGGCGTACCACATACAATAGATTCTCCTGTCAAACTCTAATATACTGAGCTCCTGCAATGCCAGAGGAAGACCTATGTATTCTAGAGGCAGAGGGATCAGTGCTTCTGCTCTCACTCCACTTTGTATGTTCATATTAGATGTGGTTTCATAAAATGGTTGTCTGCTTTTGCTTTCAAGGATATTCATCCACATTTTCCATCAAGCTGTGTATTCTAACCCAGAGTTTTGTTTTTATTGTTCTGATGAAGACATAATAAATTATTAATAAATAAACATACAGTAAATAAACATACAGAATATAAAATCCTTTGTGTTATGTTTTATTCAATTACTTCACATAACGCCTCAGATTAGGTTTTTTTACTAGTTTCAGGTACAGGATATTTTAGGAAGTCAATCACTGTCTTACCATAAGCATATTGTGTTAGCCAGGCCATTGTGTTAATTCATCAAATTATTCATTAATTTTATACAGCATGTTGCATGAATCTAATTTTCATGATTTTAACCATACTTAAAAATAACTGAATTCACATGTTATGTTAATCACTGAATATGTCAACTTAGTGTGCATACACAATGCCATAAAACATGGCTTACAAATCTTAGGGACCCAGTTCACAGAACAAATTATGCCATAATTTGATTTAATTCTGATTTAACAGTGGTTGTGAACTGAACAACTGATTATTTGTAAAAATAATAAACATGCGGTAAATAAATATTACACAAACCAATGACTAAGCAAACCATTTTTGATTCTTGTTGAACATTTACAAAAAACTATTTAGTGAGCCGGAACTTCCGGTTTGGGTTTCTTCAGCAACAGACCGAAATCCACGATCGTGCACGGTTTTGATCTGTGCTCGCTGCTGGAGCACCCCAATCCTTTGGATTCGGGACTGAAGCCACCCCATAGAGGTGGTGAAGAGGGGGAAGACTGCTAGCCAAGTGAAGGGGAGCCCTTTCCCGAAGGCGGTTGCAGCAGTGGTCAGAAATGGCCACCTCAAAGAAGAGCCCGACTGGATAAGATTGTGCAGGAGGAAGACAAAGAGAAAAGCAGGACAGACCAGGCTAAACAACAGAGAACATCTAAATAAGGTACCCTGAATCTAAAAGTACTTAGAGGGTTACTTCTGAAAGAAGACTTTTAAGTGGCGAAGGAGAGAGAAAAGGAGGTTAAAAACCCTTTTTAAAAAAACCTTTATATTGACAATTACAAATGATATGGAAAGAAATCTGTACTAATTTATCTTGACACTAGTAGGCAACTTTAAGCTGAAATTTAAGTGTCGAAAGGAGAATAAAGATTTTTTCTTTGGTCATTTTAAAGCCCTAAAAAGGAGAAGAGTGGAGGCAAAAGGGTGGGACTTCGAATCATGGAAAAACGGAGTGTCACCTGGAAAAATAAAGATGATTAACAGTGAAACTTTGAAAAGACTCCCAAGGATACATTGTAACTGAAACCTTATTAAAGGATACAGTAACCCACGGAAAAGGAAAAGGAAAGGAAAGAAACAAGAAGGAACAACCTGGGATCATCTGGTGATATTTAAAAAAAGGTGTTTTTTGGCATTGGTCTTTTCTTTCTTCTCTGTTTTTCCTTAAAGTCAATTGGGTGGTTGTTCAAAAGTGTTTAAAATGGCAACACTCCTGGAGGAATTGAAGATGAGTCTTAAAAAAACAGAAAGAAGATGCGGAAAGGGGAGGAAGATCCTTTGGCTTCGTATTTGAATTTCTTGAAATGGAGATCCTGAACTATGAAAAGCAAAAGGAAAAGCTTTAAGAGCAAGAAGAAGGGCGGGACAAAGAAGAAGCCAATGATCAAATAATGCAAAGTGTGGTAATAAGGGGGAAAGGGGGGAAAGGAGTTAAAAGTTTGAGATTAAAGGGAACAGCCAAAAAGAAAAATAGTCTGAAAAGGAACTATAACAGCAAGGAGAAGCAGAAAATAAAACCACAGAAGGGAAAATTAGAGAAGGATATTAAAAAAGGGATGAGAAAAAGGGGGAGGAAGATAGAAAGGGAAAGAACTGATGAGGGATAAAAGCAGGAAGTAAAGGAAAAGGGGAAATGTACTGGGATTAAAGGGATTTGCTCAGCTAGAAAACACAGAGACAATGGCTAAATTAAGTTAAAAGTGAGGATTCTGCAAAGGTACAAAAGATAGTGTTGTGACAGTAGAATACTGTAATGAGTTAGAAATGAAATAAGTAAACTGAGATAAAACTATTATTATGTAATGGTATGTTTATAATTAATGTAATAATAAAGAAGAGAGGGAAACATTGTAATTGTTTCTAAAGATTGATAAAATATTGAAAAGAAATGGGAAAGATTTATAAAGAAATTTATACCAGTTACTAGAATGAATTTGAATAATCATTTTGCTTATTGATAGTAAATAAAACTGTATGATTATCCAATGTTATGCTTATTAACAGTTAAGTAATAACGAAGAAGGGAGGGAAACATTTCAACTGTTCTCAAAGATTGATAAATATGGAAAAGAAATGTGAAAGATTTACATGAATTTGTAAATGATTTGAATAACTATTTTGTTCACTAATGTTTATATATATAGATTTTGCTATGTTTTTTATAATTTTTCTTTTTACATTTTTAGGGGGAAGTACCAAGCAGAGTCTGAATGATGAGATTTACATGATATAAAATAGATATTAGAAATTTGAATGTTATAATTTTAGAATACATAAATTTAATGTTTAATGAAATTTCATATGATAATAACAATAAGACTTAAAGGTGTTGCACTCTGATTGGCAATCATAGAGGGAATTTTGCTTTTTAAGAATGTTGGAAGAGAACATAATGGAATTGTAAACAAGACAGATGAAAGTATAAGTATAATGAATAAAAAGATATAGAAATTTAGGTAAAAGAAATACAATTAAATAAGAAGAAAATGAGATAATCATAAAAGAAAATTAAGAGAAGTAAAGGGAGAAATTGTGAGAAGTTAAAGAGTAATAAGATATGAAGTTGAATATATAAGATGAATATGCATATGAAATTGTGGCTGTATGGAAATGTGATAACCTGGAACCATGCTGTACTCAAAACGTTTTGTTTTGTTAAAACTCAATAAAACTTTATTTTTTTAAAAAAAGCTATTTAGCGAGCCCAGCACATATATTAAAGACAACTAGTAATCTGTCCTACACAATCTGGTTTTATGAAAGTTCACCAAGTACTTGATAATCATCTCCGTCAAGAGCCAGTCTATTACGTTATTAGTATTATTCTCCTAGAAACTAGGAGACTGAATTGTAATCCACTTTAGGCATGAAAACTGACTTCGAACATGTCACTGTCTCTCAGCCCAAATCACCTAACAAGGTGATGGTTGTGGGAAAAACAAGATGAGGAAGGAGAGTTAGATATGTTTACAACCTTGAGTTGTTTATAAAAATAATAAAAGTGGGATTAATTTTTTTAAATAAAATAATATTCTGATTATTCATTTGGAAAAAATCACAATCAGACTACCACATTGAGCACATTTAGAAAGTTATTATTTGATTTTCTCACATCTTCTCAATACCTAGGTTCCCTTTGTATCTTTAGTTCTGTTGAATTTTTTATAGTAAAGGCTGCAGTTAAGATACACTGTAGAAAACATTAGGACGAAAGTATAATTTCAGCCTTTACTCACATGATCCATGTACAATATATGATAAATTCAATCTAAAAATTGCAGGCAAATCACTTTGGGAAGGTAGGGAGGAGTTATGAGAAAAGGTAATATTTCAGATTATTTTATTAATAATCAATTGTTTAAACTATTTCAGTTACTGCCAGATGAATTTGGATTATCTAACCTTAAAGAGAGGCAGAGTGTTCTATTAAAATATTTCACAATTTTGCATTAGCAGTATCTACTTTTAAATCATACCAAATACTTGGAATATATTTTTATACAAAGAAATGTAATTTATTGAACATGGAGAATAATAATGGCATTATTAGAAAGATACTGCAATCCCAAATGTATACTTGTGGATGTCTATAACCCATTCCATTTATAAACTAACTTTGTATAGATGTATTGGAAAAAACTTATCTTCATTCTCTGAAATTAGGTATAATACGTTTAAAATGTAAGTGGAATGATTCATGTGAAACATGACATGCTTTTGTTCTTTTTCTTCTGTTGTCTCTTTGAGTCCCCCTCTTACTTTCTTTCCAAGTTGTTTACATTTTAAAGCAAGAAAACAAAAAGTATGTTGAATCACAATCTGTTTGGTCCCTTTGTAGCCCAATCCAATGTGTTATGCAGACCAAAGGAAAGCAGCAGCAAAATACAACTTGAAAGGATATGCTGGATCTTCTTTTGGCACGTATAGAGTGTCTTTGTATGACAGACCAACGTTGATTATGTTTTTATATTTTTTTCCTTTCTACTTCTTCCTTGTTAATTAATGTTCGTCTTCAGCAAAAAGCGTAAAAATTGATTTCCACTTCATTGGGATGCAAGATGAAGAAGCAAGAAAGACTTGTTACATTTGGCATTGCATTGTGCTCTTAGTTATACCTTCCTGCTCTTGTTTCCTATTTCTCTTCCAAAGAATTCTACTGTGGTATACCATATCACCCAAAATGACTCTGCTTTTTATACTAAAATTGGTGATATCATTCTGCAATTTGTATCTATTCTCTGCAGAGGATATGCGGCTGCCTGGCAGAGGGGAATATCTGTCCCCATTCAAGACACTGTATTAGATGTATAGGTAGTCCTTCTTTAGTGACAATTGGGACCAGCACCTTTGCACAGTACAAAATTATGGGAGTGAAAGTGTGTTTTCTAGCTCAAAACTAACAAGATTAATGTGTTTCACACATTGTTTTTTTTTTCTCCTAACCATTCCCAATCATTTGGAATGCTAGTCCTGGCACTGGGATAATTAACAAGAAGGGAATTAATGTTTGTATATGTTTGTATAAGGTTTGCTGCACAATATTGCTCTATAATATGGTTGTGGTATGTGCTCAGTTTCAGAATGGCTGCGGTTATTGCCTTTCCTGGGTGTCCTTGCTCTGCTGGGATATCTTGCTATTCGCCCATTCCTTCCCAAGAAGAAACAGCAGAAGGACAGCTTGATTAATCTCAAGATCCAGAAGGAGAATCCCAAAGTAGTAAACGAAATTAACATTGAGGATCTATGTCACACTAAGGCAGTGTACTGCAGATGCTGGCGCTCTAAAACAGTTGAGTTGTTTTATTGAATTTGCTATACCCTTTTAAGATCATTCTTGTCTCTTATGATATAGAGTAGTTCGCTTCTTTTAAAAGTCACAATTGTGCACTTCAGGGTAGAATGCTCTACACAGTTCATCAGTGAAGAATTAATACTAATACTAAATACCTGCATTTTTAAATCTATTTAGTAACTGGAAAAAAAATTGTTGGCTATAGTCCTCCAGGATCATTGGGAAAGTAATGCTGAGAGCTTTATAAGTGCTTTTGTGAACCAGCATGGTCCTGGTAGCTTGGCAAATCCAAGCTACCAGGCCATATATATTCACCATGAATTATAATTCAAATGATTTAAACTAATTTGCTTTCATTTAGCTTCCGACATGTTGAATTTTGCAGGGGTGAATTTGCTGGAGAAGAACAATAGCTATTATATAGGTGTGATCTGTCCACTTTATTTAATTGGCTAAGGATAGCATGCAATTCCATGATTACGACAAGTGTTATAAATCATATTATGCGATATCATAAATCATAGTTGAATTTGGATAAAGAACCCAATAATATTGTGGTCTCATTATTTATGATTTGCTGTGTCCAAATTGCCACCTTTACTCAATTCTTTGAACGTGTCTTACACTAAGCAGAATTCTCTACATTTTGTATATAATTTAATATAATTTTATTGCCACCAGACAGTTGTAATTAAAGAGGAAAGTGAAGATATAAGCAAAGTACAGCCAGCATCAAATGAATTCTCAAAGTACAGTAATGGGTTTATTAAAGTAGATATTTTAAACCAAGCCTATTGTGATATATAAACCACACTTTATACCTTAACATATGGCAAGCCAAGCCAATTGTTGAGGTTAAATTAAATAGGAATAGATTTTGGACAGAATATTTTTGTAGCTATTCATTTCTAACCACTGCTCACTCCTGTTTAAGCCATTGTTTTAAAGAATACATATTAGATGTCAACTTCTTCAATAGCTCTTAGTATTGGTGATGAATAAACATAGTATATAATTTAAAGCACCAAGAGTCATTTAGATTTCATTTTACATTTTGGATACTTCTCCTTGGTGATTTATTACCCACACTAGCCTACCAACTTCATCTGAGTTTGTATTGTGTTTATTAATGTATTTGAGGATAACCTGTCCCTCAATCTCAATTATAGTCCTAAAACCATTAACATTCCAGGTCACCTACTTTTTCTGTTTGTTTTTGTTTCAGTTCCCTGTCTGTGATGGCTCTCACAACAAACACAACGAGTCAACGGGCGATAATGTGGGCCCTTTAATACTCAGAAAAAAAGAAGTCTAGCAAACTCCTAAATGTGCTGTGACTGAAGGGAAGTTCACTTGTATATGTTGGGCTTTCATTCTTGTAAATTACAGAAATAAATTTTAGTATATTTTTAGATTATGTTAAAGTTATACTTTGTGATAGATGTTTGGTAATATGTTGTATATTTTATATAACAAAAATATGCATTTATGCTATGTAATAATAGAATTATTATTTTTCCCAGAACTGCCGTGTTTGTAACAAAAAATAGAGTGAGAGAGAGAATACACCTGTATTCTAATTACAGGTGTATCTACCCTACAGATATAAAACCAGCTGTAGTGCCAGATTGTCACAAAACTGGGAACTGATTTTTGGATGTTGTCAAAGATAGTCATGATTTTGGTCTTAAATGGGTTTAAGAATTTTTATACAAGCCAGTACATCAGTTTTAGTGTGACTAAGAATCACTTTTATACAAAACTTCAGATAGCATCTACACATACATACATACATACATACCATATGCTCCCAGAAAACTTGCAAAATCTCGTTGTTCTGCTTCGGATACTATGAAGTCTCCTCCCAGAAGATAACAAAACTGGTCATTGAGAAGATGTGTAGCATCCCTGACAATACTGTGGACCCTAGTCAAGCAACGCTTATATGCCATATCATGGATAGAAGGTGAACTTCCAATAATCTTTTCTGCTATCTTCACAACATTCTGCATAGCCTTTCTATCAAGAATAATACAATAGTTTTTGACTTGCAACCACAACTGACCCCAAATTTTCTGTTGCTAAGTTAGACATTTTTAAAGGGGGGGTTGCCTATTGTACGACTTTTCTTGCTATAGTTAAGTCAATCATTGCCGTTAGTAACCAAGTTGTTAAGGGAATCTGGCTTCCCCACTGACTTTGCTTTGTCAGAAAGTCACAGAAGTTGATCGTATGACCCTGAGATGCTGCAACCATTGTAAATATGAATCAGTTGCCAAGTGTCTGAATTTTGATCACATGAACATGGGGATGCTGCAATGGTCGTAAGTGTGAAAAACAGTCATAAGTCACCTTTCAGTGCTGTTGTAATTTTGAAGTCATTAAATGAACTGTTATTAAGTTGAGGACTACCTGTATTGCCAAACCAAACAGAATTTGCAATGACAGGATGCTTTCAATCATCCCTTTACAGAAAATAGTAAAGATAGGAGAAGATATGCTCTTCTCATACAATGCCCAAAATGCAGGTCCTGCAAACTTCCCCAGTTTCTCACTGTTGAGTGACCAAGCTAACCTAGTTAGCTGCCCACCCAGAAACTTACTAACAGAACTCCACATTAATACACAGGTGTATGGGTGTGCCTGTCTTTTCTGAAATCAATGATCTCTTGTTTTTCCAACATTCAGAACCAGGCTGTTCTTATTACAATAGTCCACCACCTCCCCTCTGTAAGCCTCCTTATTATCATCCTGAATAAGGTCCATTACTGTTGTATGATCTGCATACTTCACAATATGGACGGTTACAAACATTGCACAATAGTCATGGGTCAACAGGGTGAACAACAATACACTTAGACCACAGCCCTGAGAACTTGTGCTCAAGAATATGTTAGAAACATTAGCCCAAACTCGCACTTACTGGGGCCTATCATAAGCAGCTACAATTCAAACTGCTAAAGCCAAAAACATAGTGGCCAAGGTTCCGTATTAGTTATTTAATTGTTCCACCTGGACTGGGATATTTGTAAGAGCAAATGCTAAGCAATCACATCTTCATCGATAAAACATAACTAAGTATTTTTCAGGTGGAGGCAGTGCATTTTCTGAAGCCAATTATCCATCAATGTATTTGTGTATTTATTAACTCATCAAAAATTCTTGTTTTTTAAATAAGGTACTTTATTTGTAGCCAGGACCCTCAATTGACCAGAGTAAATGGATGGATCTCCCTGAAAGGCAGTGATTACCAACCATTATCTTTATAGGTGAATGGGAGAAGAATCTTGTTGAGATATACAGATCTCTTCTGCAAACAGGGCCTCTTGCTTTCACAATACTGCAAAAAATAAAACTCTGGCATACTACTACTAATTTGTGGCTTTCCAGGCATTTTGTCATATCTGTTTTGGAAAAACTTTCATATACGGAAAACTACTTGAACAATATTTATATATTTATGTATCTTGGATTCCTTAGTTCTCTTAGTTAAAATATTTATAATTACATATAATCAAAACTGATTATTAATCTGAATGAAAGAGTGTGCATAAACATTTTTAGTTACATGACTGACAACTGACTGACAAAATTTTTAAGTTAACTGCGTGGAGAAATATAAGAATGTTCCGATTTGAAAAAGGCACTCAATGGCCAATTTATATAGTGCTATAAACCATAATGTGATTTTAAATTATGGTTCATGGTCCACTGTGTTCTATAAATGCCACCAGTTCTGGCTAAGAGTCTGGTTCTTCTCATAAGGAAGTCAGGCAGTATATTTCAGAATGCTGTAACTCTTTTATGCAAACTTACCAACAGTTTCAAATACAAGAGAAATAATGGAGATTTCAGCTCCAGTTAAACCAAAGACTAGAAATCGATGGAGCTGCCGTGGAAGAAGCACTTTAATGTTATAAAAGATGAAAAAATCTTAACCTCTCTATACTACATTCAGCTAATTAAAATTTCCAAAAAATCTGTCCAAGTCTTAATGTACTTCAATATGCTTTGACTTCATAAGAGGTAAATGGTTTTGAGAAATATCTATACATGGTTTCTATCAGGACTTAAAATAATAATAATGCCATTATTTAATTTAAAATATATTGTATGTGCATGCATGTATTACGTGTATAATGTCAATAATACATACATGTATTTGGTCAATGAGTAAAGTACAATGACTGAATGTCTGACATACATCTACACTCACAAATGTGTATGTAGATACAGTATAATATACATTTAAATATGTGCATGTGTGAATGAAAAACATCAGAAGGTTACGAGATAAAAGGGATTGAATAAAAAATGTGAAACAGTTGTTTGATAGGACTATATACATTTATTTGGGATATGAATACAGTTTCAACAAATGTGACTGGATGACATAAAATCAACAAATAAACAAACAATAATAAACCTGTACAGCTAAAAACAGCATATGAAATTAGAAAACAATCAGGCATGCAAATTTGCCTTAAAACACACCAGGTGAAATTCCAATTTCTTGACCCCAATAACTGAAAAAGGAACCAGACTTACTGTCTTTTCAGAGGCCAATTTGATAAGAACCAACCATATATTTGGGGGCCCCAACAGCTTGTCAAGGAGCGGGCACTACATGGTTTGGTGATTTCTGGGCTTCTAGATAGTCTTTGAGGGATTAGGTGATAATAATACATCTAGAAAGATGAAAACTCTTCAGTCCTGGGATCAGATATGCCAAATTCATAGATCCTCAGTCTTGGTTGAATTAAGTCAAAGCTTGTTTCCCCATCCAGGCACTAATGTTTTTCATATACCAGAACAGAACTCAAAAGTATCCTGTGGACAGAGAGAGATAGAACTGGGTATCAATAGCACACTGATATTGCATGACATACGGAAGGATGTCTTCCCCTAGCTGCTTCATGTAGATGTTAAAAAGAAATGAATAGAGAACAGAGTTGTGAGGCATCTTGCAAAGCAGGACCTCAGTCTGACTGATTTCCCCCAACTTCAGTCCCAGAAGAGGATAACCACCAAAACTCCATGTCTCCCACTCCTAACCTCTTGGGAAAATCCAGAAGGATATCATGAGACAAGAAAGAGGCAATCCAATCCAAGCCCATTTTTGCTGCAGTTAACAAGTCTCAGTTGCACCATGCATCCAAACTTCAAGGGAAAATCCCAAATTACTTTCGAATCCTAGCAGGTTTGAAGTGGGGAACAGTCTTGGTAAATTCCAGGGTTAACAAAGAGTAATCCATGAATAATAAGGGAGTGATGAAAATGTCTCCCCAGATCGTGTCCCAGTCCTTAAGTCAAACATCAAGATTCTCATGTGCTCCTTCCCTATCATGTAAATGAGGCCTTCAATGTAAATTGGAGCCTGTGGGAAATTAGCACCTTTTCTTCCTAGCAATCACAAGCCAAATGCATGAATCGGTGATCTCATCTACATACTTTCTCAGCAAGCTGTCAAGAAATGAAAGACTGCAATGAAAAAGAATTGTTCACATAAAGGATATATTATAGATGTCAAAATAAGCATTATTCAATAACTCTTATAATGGAATATTGATCTGAGGTTCTGTGTTCTTATGCAAGACAAATGATGAAATGATTCTCAAATTGTTGTAAACACATAAAAATCACAATGGAAAATGAACTAGTTTTATGTCATATTAGTTGTGACAGATCATACATTAATTACTGCCACAGTGAATCTCCAGACTAGTAAAAATTGACATAATATATAAAAATATAATGCTATTTTAATGTTTATTAGGCCAAAAGATCTTAGAAGGCAGGCTTCTGGGCTGCAAAATTATCATTCTCTACCCAAGAAATTTAACACTGCATATCTTGAATATATGTTTTAGAAATAAATGGAATTATTTTAGTATTTGATATAAGCAACTATATAAATCAAAATAAAAAATATTGATGTTGTTGACTGCTTTTTATACTTCAGCTGCAGATTCTGTTATGTAGTTTTCATATGTTTTTTATATTTTTAATATTTTAATGTTTTATAATTTTAATTGTTGTAAGCTGCTCAGTATTTGAGGCAGCTGTGAATGAATGAATAAATAAATAAATAAAATACATGCAGTATAAATAATTAAGTAATTCAACAACTAATTTCTTCATACCTACTTTCTGTAGATGGCTATGATATTTCTGAATCCAGTAAGTTACCTATGATAACTAAAATGAAAGAATGGCTGGAAAAAAAGATAAAACATTGTTTTCTTTTTAATATAGTTATAATAGAGTCAGAGATTTCAACAAGATAACCAAATTTTATGAAATGCTACTTAGAACATCTGGAAATAAAAATATATTTTTAATACCAAACAATTCTTAATATCATTTCATTTCCATTATCGATCTCTATTTCATTCTTTTTTATAAACTAATAGTAAAGGAACAGTCTTTAATGTATTAATACTTGGAAGCTAAATCCCACAATCAACATTAAGATTTCATGATATCTCAATATAATTTCTACAAACTGTTGGAGATATTTGAACAACTTTCCAAAGGGTTTCATCATGTTTCCACAATATAATGGTGAATAAAAGATAATAAAATGCTTGTCTTACTTCACAGAGAGTAAGCATGTTCCATATTTAACATCTACAAAATCATATTTGACCTATAAAATTTTAGGCAGGTTTTTTCTCTATTTACATCATAGATAGTTTGAGAAGGAGTGACAGAATGCCTTCATTAACAGATAGCTGTTTCATATATCTCAAAAGGAAATATACTTTTGACACAGATTTCTGAACAGAAATAGTTCAGTCAAATTAACACCCACAGTGAATAATTGGCATTCTTAAACCACTTAAGAATATAGTCCTGTTAAACCTCAGGAATATAAGAAGTCTAACCATTGTAAAGCATTTACTCTAAATTCTATGTAATAATCAAGACATTGTTCTGGGCTACTTTCTCATTCTCTCATTGTAACTAAACTTATATTATGCTGACATTGCTGATGCTGCTGCAATCCTAGTTTTTTAATATGAGAAACCTGAACTACGTTCTGCTGTTAATCTTGACAGCAGCATTGGTCATCTAGTAATAGCAGTCACCTATATAGTATCATTGAAGAGAAGAGCAGTGATATGATCCAGGGTGGATTTGATTTAAATGAAGTAGATTTAAATCATAATTTTTAAAGAGCAACTGTCATCTTTGTCCCACAGGGGCTCCTCCTCTGACCCGCTGTTGACTCACTGACAGTCCCATTTACTTTAATGGGATGGCTGGTGATGCGGCAGGGACACAACAAGGTGAAGGATGTGGCAGGCAGCAGGTGAGTAGATACTTGCTAACAGGCGCCGCCATGATGGATCTGAAATGACAGGTGCTCTTTTAATGTAAGGACTCATTCTTGCTGGTAGTTAGAATATAATATTTAATATTATTATTTGCAAACAAAATGAAGGTTTCCTATTTAGCTTGCAGAGCTTGGATTCACTGAGTTTATCAAAAATGTAAATATTGCAGAATATACAGCCTCACGCTACATAACTAAGCTCCATTTTGTGAATAAACTAAATTATTAATATATCTTAAATAGAAAACTATCTTTAGATAGATTTTCACTCCAAAAGCATTTTATTAAAATTTGATAAAAATTAAAAAAATCCAATTTAAAATAAAAAAATCTGTTTCTTAAAAAAATCATCAATTTTTTATCCACCCTGGTATGATCTATTTCATGTCAATATAAGAACCAGGCACTCCTGGAATTTGTTCTGGGGTTCTGCCTAAGAGGACAATAGGCTGTTTTTTTCAGTCTAATTATCTAAGATTGAAACAGAACATATGCCCATTATATAACATAATTATTACAACTATAATTAATTCAATGGTAATTGTTCCTTTGTCTCTCCTCTCTTCCTGTGAGAGAGGAATCTTAGAAGAAATCTTCAACCGAAGGTGTAAAGTGAATGGAATGGTTTTGCCGCAACATTCCAAAAGTTTGAATCTTTGTGGGCATGTAATGTCTGTTTGCTTATTATAGTTTAATCCATTCTCTTGGCAGACTCCAAATGATTTAAACATCATCATAACATATTCCACTAATTCCATTAACTGTGTAAAAGAAATTGATCAATGATTCCTATATAATGAGCATTTGAAATAAACTTAAACCTGTACGATACTTGGAAGATGGGGATTTTAGAAAAAATACTCTGAAATTTGAGGGAGGATTCCAAGATGGCAACATAAGTACAATCCTCATCATGAGCCCCTCCTAAAAAACCTTATCATCCAACTTGCATTTTCATTCAACATCTATTTTGAACAACTGTCTGACTTCTTTTAACAATCACTTTTTACAATTTTATCATTTTTAAAAAATATTTTTTTACCTTTTTTATTGTTGCTATCTGACTAGCCCTATTTATGGAAAGCATATTTGCACTGCAGTCACGGAGAAAAGGAAGAAGCGACAGAGAACACCTTTTGCAACACAGCACTTTGCTAAAACAGCAGAAAGCTGATGGATTTATCAGAAGCAAGCAAGCCTCCGCAGTGAGTAAGATCATCCTGTTACATCTTTTTAACAAATTTGACCCCTTAGAGTAGAACCTACAAAGCTGAGTGAGTCAGCAACATCTAGAACTTTCCGTCTCTTTGATAGAAAGTGCTCTCCCTCACAAACTGTTGCTGCTTGTTCAGCCACCAAAGGGGCTCATTCATACAAGAGGGAGAGGAGGGCTCTACTTTCAAATTCTTGAAAAAAGATAAATACATTTTACTTTATAACTTCAAATAGTCTATTAATAGCATACACTCTTCTATCAATTTTTGAATTGCTGACCAAAGCAGTTCTCTCAGACTCCTTCAAAACATTATTGAAATTGCTCATTTTGCCAAGGCTAACAGTCTCTGTTCAAATTGTGAACAGCCAGCAAAGGAAAAGAAAACTGATCCCCGGGACAAAGGTAATGGATTGTAAATATAAGTTCCATTCACTGAAAGACTTTGCTCCTGTAATTTTGAGGAGGCAGAAGCAATGCCTCTACAATCTCCTTCTACATGGCTCCCATTATGGAAACATCTGAAGTAGATTCATACTTCTTCTGATCAGAAAATATACTGGTGGTCCAGATTCAGCCTATGCACAGATGCTACTCATAGAAGTACCCCTTGTTCCTCTTAGATTAACAGACTTGGAAGGGACCTTGTAGGTCATCTAGTGCAACCCCTCTGCCCAAGCAGGAGACCCTACACCATTTCTGACAGATGGCAGTCCAAACTTTCCTTGAAAGCCTCCAGTGATTAATTATAGCACATGTAGCTAGGTTTTGCACAGCAGCACAGGCCTATTGAAATTTGATGGGCCATTACTGTGCAATGCATACCCACAACTATAATTCATTGAAATTTTAAACAATGTTATCTTGCTGCCACCCACTTATCAGCTTTCTGGCAAGGCGAGAATTGCAGCACCTCCAGTCAGGTTCTTACATTGGTTTAAGAAGTTAATTTGTAGGGATCTGGGTAGAACTGCCACTGGCCCATCAACTGTTCTAAAGGCAATCTACAGAAGTACACACTAATTCTCAAAGCAAAAGTGAACAAGCACAGTACAAAAAGGATCTTTCTGCAAGCAATACATGCAAACGAACAGTACAACAAAGGAACTTTACAAGTATTAAATCTTCTTTCTATAGCTGCTGGATACTATTTCTTCAAACTATTGCAACAGAATCACAAACAAAAATAGTAATAAAAAATTATAGTACTTACACAGTAGCTTGCAAAGTAATTACAAATAAACACAGCAGTTTGTGAACTACTTATAAACACGTGTGGTGCTACAATGAAAAAGAAAATGTTAAAATACTTACAAAGTCAACTATAGTCCATCCTAAAGAAAACAGCAACAAGAGACTGATTCCTCTAGTTTTCTACATGGCAGCAATGAGGGAAACAAACCATGTGCTGCTGGCTGTAAAATCCATGGTCTTGATTGATCACGTGACCAGGGGGAAAATCAACTTGCTGCTCCTACAGGCCTCGGAAATTGTCTGACGGAACTGTAGGCAAAAAATGGCAGTCACAGGATCTGATTGTCTTGGTTATAAAATCAAAAGAGCTATAATGGACATGTCTTTACTTAAAAAGAGAGTGATCATTTAGTGACCCTCTGGACATAATTATATATTCTTAAACTGTGTTGTTTTTTTTGTCAAATATAACACTATTCACTGAAGTTCATAATGACTCTTTGGAACTAGGAAATGGCATCTGAATGCCTTTTGAGGCTGTTTAAACCTACTCGGGGGTCTCCAAAAATTTTGATTGGCTACAGAAGCTTTAGGACTTCTTCAGTTTTAGGTTTATTCAGAAATTTAAACTACTGAAATCAGTGGCACTTGTTCCAACTAAATGTGAATATAACCTCAGTTTTTAGTAGTGTCATAATACTGTTTACCATAGTGAAAAGAACTTTAACCATTTATCTCATAACCACAAGTATTTTTATTTGTTCTTATTTGTATCTATGACTGAGGGGTGTAATTTGTCCAAGCAAGGTATCACTTTCCTTTTCTTACTGCTGGGAATTGGATTCTTCCATTAATTTTTTTTTTTTTTTTTTTTATATATATAAATTTTTATTATTTTTTTAACATAAAAAACACAACAACAAAACATAAAAGTATCAGCTCCCCCATATTTTTGTACACACCGTAAGTCGGTTGGTCCATCGGTTTTGTGCATTCACCTCATAGTCACAATTACAGTTACTTTATATAATACTCTTATCAATACAAATTTATAAATCCTAGTATCTCTATTAAAGAAAAAAAAAAAAATTTGACTAAACTTTTATTCGGTCATGCCTTTATGAGATAACTATATTTTAAATATTTTATTCTAAAACAAATCTTATAATCATACCAATTCTATCCCAAATATGAAAAAGAAAGAAACAAAGAAAACTATTATATAAATATAGTATCAAAAACCAATAAAAGGAAAGGGAAAATAAAGTCATTATTATTCCTTATTATCTAACTTTTATATTTTAATATTTCATCATTCAACCATTGATAGAAAAGATCCCAAACTAAATAAAATTGTTTATCTTCTTGCTCTCTAATTTCAAAAGTCAATCTACTCATCTCAGCACATTCCAAAATTTTCTTTACAACTTCTTCTTGCAATGGAATTTTCTCATTTTTCCAATTTTTTGCAAATACAATCCTAGCAGCAGTCAATACATTTACAATCAAATATTTCAACTCTTTACTATAAGTATCTGGTAGTATTCCCAATAGAAAAAACTCCGGTTTCAAGTCTATATGCTTCTTTGTCATTTTTTCCAGCCACATGTGGATTTTAGTCCAATATTTTCTAGCATCCTCACAAGTCCACCACATGTGATAGTATGAACCAGGTTTCTGATGACATTTCCAGCATTTTTCGGATTTGTTCTTAAACATTCTTGCTATCCTTGTCGGGGGAAAATGCCACCTGTAAAACATCTTATACAAGTTTTCTTTATAGGCTGTAGACATTGTCATTTTATAATTTTGCGACCATAATTTCTGCCATTTCTCTAAATCAATCCCATATCCAAAATTCCTCCCCCACGCAATCATAGTTTCTTTAACTTGTTCTTCCTCAAGCTTAATTTGCAATAAATAACCATACAATTTTTTAATCACCTTTTCATCAGTACCCATCAAAATCTTATCCAAGTCAGTTTGCTTATCATAAAATCCCTCTGCTTTGGAATCCTCATAGTACTTTGAATATATTTGCAAATATGAAAACCAATTCATCCGTATACCTTGTTCTTCCAATTTTTGCATCGATTTAAGTTCACCCTTTTCATCTAATAATTCCCCATAGTTAACTGTTTGTTCCTTTTTATAGATTATAGGATAAGAAAACGCTTCTATCGTCGATAACCAAACTGGAATTTTCAAATAACACTGTTTTTTTATCTTCTCCCAATTCAACCACAGAGACTCCCGTATATAATGCCTTCTAAAATACCCCTGTGTTTTAGTTCCCTTGTACCATAAAAAAGCATGCCAGCCCAACAACAAATCATGACCTTCTAATGTCAACAATCTGGTTTTCCTTAATGTTATCCATTCTTTAACCCACGTCAAGTTTGCAGCTTGGTAGTACAACTCCCAATTAGGCAGTCCAAACCCTCCTCTAAATCTAGCATCCTGTAAAAGCTTTAACTTTATTCTTGCTTTCTTACCTTGCCATATATACTTCAAAACAATTTTATTTAAATCCTCAAAATATTCTTTTCCAAGCCTAATTGGTATTGTTTGAAACAAAAATAAGACTCTGGGTAAAATGTTCATCTTAATTGTTGAAATCCTTCCTATTAATGACAATTGTAAGTTCTCCCATTTTTTCAAGTCTTGAGCTATCTGTTGTTTAAGTTTAATATAATTATTCTCCTTCAATGTACTACATCTTGATGTCAAATATATCCCCAGATACTTAACCTTGTTTGTAACTTGAATTTTTAACAGTTCTGCCAACTCTTCCCTTTGTTTCAACAACATATTCTTTGACAAAATCTTTGTTTTATCTCTATTTATTTTCAAACCAGCCACCTCCCCATAGACCTCTATCTTTTCCAACAGTTTCGAGGCTGTTTCTATAGGGTCTTCCAAGATAAAGACTAGGTCATCTGCAAAGGCTTGTAGTTTAAATTCTTCCTTTTTAATTTTCATTCCTTTTATAGTTTTATCTTCTCTGATATTTCTATTCAACACTTCCAAAGTCAATACAAATATCAAGGGAGAAAGAGGACAACCTTGTCTTGTGCCTTTTCTTATATTAATAGGATCTGTAAATTCTCCCTCCATCATTACCTTAGCTGTTTGTTCATTATAAATTGCTTCTATTGCCTGAATAAATCTTCTAGCAAAGCCCATCTGTTCCATTAAAAGTAACATAAATCTCCAATTCACGTTATCAAATGCCTTTTGAGCATCTAAAAATATCAAAGCCATTTGCTTTTCAGGATGTGCCTCATAGTATTCCAGGGTGTCCAGAATTACTCTCATATTGTCTCTGATTTGTCGCTTTGGCAAAAACCCATTTTGGTCTGGGTGGATAAAGTTATTCAAGTACTTTTTAAGTCTTTCTGCTAATATTGAAGCAAAAATTTTATAATCTACATTTAGTAAAGAAATCGGTCTATAATTCTTGATTTGCAGTAGGTCCGCCTCCTCTTTTGGAATAAGTGTAATGTAAGCCTCTGACCATGTTTTAGGTATCATCTTTTTTAACATAACTTCATTCATAACTTCTAACAGTGGAATACACAGTGATTCTTGAAAGATTTTATAAAATTCTACAGGAAACCCGTCTGGACCTGGTGCCTTTCCATTATTTTGTTTCTTAAGTGCTTGACTTAACTCCATCATTGTTATATTACTTTCTAGCATTTCTTCAATCTCTTTAGGTATCTTAGGTAGATTTGCATTCTGTAGGTATTGTTTAACTTTCTCCTCATCAATGTCTTCTTTCTTATACAAATGCTTATAAAAATCATAAATAATCTCTTTTTTTTCTTTGCTGCCATAACAAATTTTACCTTGGTCGTCTATTAACTGCGGTATTTTCCTCGACTCTTTCTCCTTTCTCAATTTGTATGCTAGCCATCTACCTGGCTTATTTGCATCCTCAAAATAATTCTGTTTAGCATTCCTAATTTTCTGTGCCAGTTCTTCTTTCTCTATTAAATCCATTTTATGTTTAGTTATATCCAGTTTCATTTTAACATCTTTTCTGTGTGGCATTTTCTGTAATTCTTTTTCAAGTCCCTTATATTCATCATCCAAGGCTTTAAGAGTTCGCCTTTTCCTGTTGTTCTTTTTTCTTGTATAGTCTATTATCAAGCCTCTAACATAGGCCTTCATTGTGTCCCAAACATTCTGTATTGAGGTGTCTTCTTTTCTGTTCTCTTTAAAGAAGAAGGCCAATTCTTTCTCCATCCATTGTATAAATTCCTTATCCTTTAAAATAGAGTTATTTAATGTCCATCTCGATCTTTTCCTTTGTCCCTTCCATTCAATTGTCAATGGGTTATGGTCAGCCCAAGTACTTGTTTCAATATTTACTTCTTGAATACTAGACATTAAATCTGTTGAGATCCAAATCATATCCAGTCTGGACCATGATAGATGCCTATTTGAATAGAACGTAAATTGCTTAGATTTATCATTTCTTTCTCTCCATATGTCTTTTAAAGTTAATTCATCTATCATTTTAAAAAAGGATTTAGGAAGAGTTTTCCTGTTATGCTTTACTGTTGTTGCAATATAGTCAAGTCTATTATCCACAATTCCATTAAAGTCTCCCATCATAATTACATTAGCATAGTCAAGTTCGGTAGTCTTAGTATGTAATTTTCTATAGAATTCTTCCTGTTTATCATTCGGTGCATAAATTGCAATCAAAAGTATCTTTCTATTATTGTCCATTATTTCTACCATTAATATTCTCCCATCATCATCTGTATAAATCATTTTTGCTGGAATGGCCTCTTTAATATATAAAACCACCCCTCTTTTCTTGGATTGTGTCAAAGAGGTAAACAATTTCCCTAATTTTGGTTGTAATAACAATTGTTCATGTTGCTTTTTAATATGAACTTCTTGTAAACAAATTATGTCGAACCTTAATTTCATTAATTTATGGAAAATCTTCCTTCTCTTAGCAGCTGAGTTCAGTCCATTTATATTCATTGTAATCAATTTTTTTTCTTCCATAATTATGTTTTATATTTAGATTTAACCACTCTCGTGGGTCTTGCCTCACGTTGATCTTTAATATCCACTTGTCCACCTACTGCACCTTCTTCTTTTCCAACCTCCATTTGTTCCTCTTGAGATTCAATTGATGGGACCTCCTTTCCTGCTCCTCCTTCTCTGCCTCCAAAAACCTCTGCGCAAAACAGTTCTGCTTTCTCAATTGAATCAATTCTATGTCTCTGTTCCTGCCACGTAAACATCAATCCTTCTGGAATCAACCACCTGTAAGACACCTCTTTTTCCAATAACCTTTTAGTCAGGAATCGGTATTCTCTTCTCATCTCTCTCACTCTTCTAGGTATTTGTTTTAAAACCAAAATTTCTTTACTTTTGTATTTCAGTGGCTTCTCTCTTGCTACTTGCAATATTTGTGTCTTCAAAGATTTTTTAATAAATCTAATATGAACTTCTCTGGGTAGGTTATTTCTCATCGCATATCTTGTAAAAACTCGATATATCTCATCAATTCCATCCATCATCTTCTCTTCTGTTATCTCGAGCGCCTCCGCCAAGATTCCTACCATTATCGCAACCAAATCTTGTCCTTTTTCTTCTTCTATATTTTGGAATCTAAGATAAAATTCTGATCTATCCAACTCCCACTTCAACATCTCACTTTTTTCTTGTTCAATCGCTGTTAATCTATTGTCGATATTTCCAATTTTCTCCTCTCTTTGTTTGCCTCCCTCTTCAACATTTTGGAGTCTCTCTTCATATTTTTCCATCATCTGTTCCATCCTACCTGTTCTTTGTTCAATAGTATCCATTTTTACCTTAAGATCTTGAATTCCTTGCATAATCATCTGGAAGGATACTCTTTCTTGTTCTTTTTCTTTCTCTTTATCTTGCTTTAACAATGTCTGAATTGAACGCTGTCCAGATGGTGGGGAGGCAGAAGCAGACATAGAGGCACCCGAAGATATAAATTTCTTACTCATTTTAAGTGGTTCCAACTCTTCAAGTTTTTTCAAATTTTAATTATAAAGAAGTACCATCATCTGTCAAGGACTTAAAGAAACCATTATAGTAATTAACACTATAAAAAACAGGCCACTGTCCAAGAATCTTCAAGAGTTAATATCTATCTATTCTTTGCATATGTATTTTATTTGCATACACAGATACACATACATCACAAACATGGCCTGATCACCCATGATAAAAAGATTTAAAATTATGATTTTGATTGATCATATAACCAGAAGAAAAAAGAACTCGCTAATGTTGTAATTGCAGGCAACAAAAGGGCAATCATAGGATTAAGAATGGCTGATGCTTCAGGAGTGATTGAATTCAGATCACGACTGCAGAGGCGCCTTGGTGGTTGCAATTTTGAACCCCTATTGTAAGTACAGTTTTGGGATGGCATTTGTCATTTTAAACAATCATATGTACCTTGCGGATACCTGTAAATGGCTAAGGGAAGATGGATCCATTCAATACATGGATGGCTGCATCTTTCTGCACAACATGACTAGGCTGAGGCTGAAGGCAGGATAAAATGCATCAATATTTCAATCAACATCATTTTACCCGAAGCAAAGATTAGGAAAGTAAATCTAGCACATAAAGCAAAATTGGCAGGAAAAGATGCAGTAGAATGGCATCTAGAGCAGCCAGAGTAACAAAATATGCAAAGATAAGATTACTGGTGATATTTTACATACTAATATGGTATGGGAATCAAAATAAATTTTCAGCAGTTTACAGAACAAGCACAGATTAGAACATCCACAGAATACAACATGAACTACAAATAGAAATTATTAAAAATAAAGATAGCAACATTTTCAGCAGGGGAAAGCTTTGCAAAGCAATGTGCTCTTCAAGAGTTTCTGAAATAGGAACAAAAAGGGAACCAGTCTGGTCTCTACAGGGGGCTGTTCCACAAAGTCAGCACTGCTACAGTTTAATGACTGTAATAGCATTGACCAAGTTTTAAATATTTTTAGTCCCCCACCCCTGTCAAATCAACAGTGAATATAAAAGCAGTGGACCTACTGATGAAATTGCTCTGAGTTTCCTATCAATATGCAATTCCAAGATGCTAGCCATTTGTAAACCCTTACGCTGACCTTTAATTTACATCACCAGTGAAACTAGTGGAATGACAATAACTGTTATTTATAAATTTTACTGCCCATCTCCTAATCATCAGCACTTGGTGCATTACAAAGTTACCTGAGTCATATCCTCTGCCACTACAAATGAGCCTTTAACTCAAAAATAGGAACCAACTTCCTCACCACTGATACTCAGTTCACGTTAAGCTCCTCCCTCCACGCTCTTTCTAGATTGTTCAAGAACCGACATTCTGGATGCTACTTCTGCCGATTGTCAGGAGTGGAGACAGAAGGCAAGGAAGTATTCCACATTTTGAATTGAATACTTTATTTGGCCAAGTGTGGTTAAAACACAGAAGAAATTTATGACCAGTGCAGGAGCTCTCAGTGAACATGGAAAGCAACAGAACATAATGGTCATAATACCAGTAAG